GCTGCCACTGCTGCCCTGCTTGCACGCGATGCTCAGCGCTGCCCTACCCTGCCTGGCCGGCGCCAGCGCTGCCCTGCTGCCGCCATTGCTGCCACCGCCACTGCTGCCGGCCACTGTCACTGCTGCTACTGGCCGCTGCCACTGCTGCCCTGCTTGCATGCGCTGCTCAGCGCTGCCCTACCCTGCCTGGCCGCCGCCAGCGCTGCATTATTGCCGGCCACTGCCACTGCTGCTGCTGGCCGCTGCCACTATAGCTGCCGGCCGCTGCCACTACTGCTGCCGGCCGCTGCCAACGCTGCCCTGCTAGCTACCCGTGCGCACCTGTCCTGCCCTGCCCGTGCACATCTCCTAATCGCTGCACTACAGACACCGCCAACCCTGGCCCACGAGCGACCTGCAGTAGAGCACCCAGTTACTCGTGCTCTTCCCTAGCTCTCTTTCCCTGCTGCTACTAGCTGCCATTGACTGCCATGGCCAATAGCACTGTCCTACGTCAGCGGCAGCCAAGTGTGGAGGAGTCTCTCTCGCCGCAGCAGCTTTGGGAGTGGGCTGTCTGGTGGTGCAGCCCCGGTGGCGGAGCTAGCCGTGCTCGTCGCCCGAAGCCGCTTTCGCCACAGCAGCGTCGTAAGTGGGCTGTCCGGTGGGGTGCTACTACTGGAGGTACCTGTGGGTCTACTCCTGCTGGTAGTGCCACTAGTAGACGCGGAGGTTTTGGGGGTGGACACCAGCAGCAGCAGCGTCCGCTGGAGACTCTCTCCCTGCAGCAGCTTCGTGAGTGGGCCGTCCGGTGGGGCAGCAGATCCTGCAGGATTATTGGAATTTCGGAAACGCTGTTGCAGTGATTGAAGATGAAGGTTCGAAGCTTGGAGAGCCTGTTGATGGAATACGGAAAGTGAGTGACGGTGCTGAATTGGCACAGCTCCAAATGCTCTAGAGATGAAAGGCGATCCACGCTTTCTGGCAGAAACCTGAGCGCAGAGCAACGTATGATGGTAAGGACTCGTAGCGAAGTAAGCAAGACGAACGAATTTGGGAGCAAGCTAAGGAACGCATTGCCCTTCAAGGAGCACTCTTGAAGGTTCTGAAGGCGGCCAATGCTGTCAGGAAGTTCTTCCAGCTCGTCTGCATGGGATATGGTGAGCTTGACAAGCGAACTAAGGCTTCCAAAGGACTCGGGCAAGTGCTCGAGCTCACTGCAGCGTAATATCTGTAGCTCGATCAGACCAGTGAGAAGGCCAAACGATTATGGGAGCTCGCTGATCATAAGCTTGTCGAACGTGAGCTTCTTCAAGGACATCAGCCTGCCGAATTCATTGCAAAAGCTAGTAAAAGAGGCTGCCAAATAGACCTCCGTTAGGGTAGACAGACCGAAGAAGGATGGTGGGAGAATCTCGGGAGACTCATCGAAGGCCGGCGAGAGATGTTGTAACGCAGTGGAAGCCATAAAGACTGCATCCAGACCATCCCAAGTCACTGCGGCATCCTGCTGGCTTCTGTGTTCAAGATGAGTTAACGCAGGACATGCCAATCCGAGACCTAAGAGAAACTCGCACTCATCATCGAAATCGCAATCGCTTATTTTTAGAGATGTCAGTTTCGTGAACTTCGACATCGGAAAAATCCCTTGTCATCCAAACACAGGCCCGAGGGATTCGCCCGTGAGTCCTCTGAGGGGGGGGGGGGGGGGGGCAGATGGAAACCATCGGTTTCCTGCTAGATGTGTCGGTGGTAATAGCAATGTTCGAAAATGACGACTAATCGTTTATTTTCTGTCCTTTTCAACCATTCATCGGGCTGACTGGAACGGCCGAGGTTCGAGAGTTTAGGGTTTGGTCTGTGTCGAGCTGGTTTGGATGAGACGCAGCCGTGAATTGTGCCATGTACTCTCCCTTCGTAACTTTGCCACTGTTTGCCCATTCAAGGCGGTTTTGATTTGCAGTGGCGGCTGTCGCGATCTGGTTACTGGTTTCCCTTTTCGTTCCATGTGACATTTGCCTTGTCCTGTAGTGTTGGTAGTCATCGCGTTTTTTCCTTCTGACTCCTTGCTTTTCCCTTTTTAGTATTTCCGATATAGGTTGGCTCGTTTACAGTGTGTGCAGGTTCTTTTCTTTACATTATATTTTTGTTATCTGCTGGTGATGTAGGTGATTCGTTTTACAGTTCCAGACGCTACGCATTGCTTTTCGTCATCCGTCTTAGTGTTTCTTGCGTACTTTTTTGTCATTGGTACATTGCGATTATTGTATGTTTGATTTCCGATATAATTCTTAGTGTTCTTTGTGATTGTATGTATATGTATACACATGATTACGGATAACTTTGCTTAATTGACTTTCACAGGCACGCCATTTATTGTTGTGCATGTGTTATTGCAGTATTGTATGGTACGGTTGTAGTGATTTAACTATTCTGGTTGTTCTATTGTGCATACTGTATGTTAATATGCGACGCGTTCGTTTGTTTTGTCGTACACGACCAGGTTGATTACGTTGGGTGACACGTGTGTTTCCCGCCACAATTTAGTCAATGCAGTTTTGTGACGCTGCGCGGTTTTTTGCGAGTCGCGCGAATTCGCATTTTGGTGATTTGGCGCGTTCTCACTCGTTCACCCACGTTTGACCAGCCGTGTCGCTTTGTAACGTTCAGGTTTGGTCGTGGGTCAGTTTGAAGCGTTCACGGGTTGGTTTCGAGTGGGTAGCCCGTATGCCTACAGTGTGTTTAGCTTAAAGTGATGTTCGCATTTCCCTGCGAACTGAAGGTTAGTTCGCATTTTCCTGCGAACTGATAACCCAACCTGCCACTCTATTATGTGGCTGATGTTTTAACGGCACCACTTGTCCGTTCTTAGCGAGGGGGCGTTTCAGTTTGTAACCCTGTTTTTAAACGCTGTTTTTGGTCTCAGCCTTTCGGGGTACGGGCAGAGTTTTCGGCCCCACAGACTCCCACCCTTGGCCCCAAACCTCTAGACAAGCCTGCTTAGGGGGCAATGAACTCCCTCCTCAGTTCTGCTCGACGTGTTGTGTCCGGAATTCGTAATTCCAATTTCTTGCCTTTTCCCAAACTCGACAAAACATTGCCCAACAAATCATTGCATTTTCCTTCCGCGGCAAATCCTTGCCGTTTCTCGCGATTTAAGGGTTGAACTTTGGGTTAGGCTTCACTTGCGTGTCAGAATATGTTGTTTGTGTAGCCTGCAGTGGGGTACTCAATAGTGAGTACAGCCCCTTAGGGTTTGCTATTTGTATCCTGCTGCTTGCTAGTTCAATCATTCCTTCTCAATTCTGTTTCTGCACACAATCGTAGCTCGTACTTGGTGCCTCCTTTCGTAGTCCTACTGTGGCCTAGGCTACTAAGCCTAGGCCGTACTCCTAGTATATTTGACATGGTATCAGAGGGCGGCATGTCTGCCGCCTTCCTGTGTATGGGCCCACAACCTGCTTCCGCTGCTGTACTGACCGCCGCGCGCCCCGTGGTGCGCGGCGCAGAAATTAGGGTTTCTGCTTCCGCCGCGCGCTCGGGGCGCGTGGCGGTTTATCCCACCGTGGCGCCCGTCGTGGCGCCCCTCGGGGGCATGTGCGCTATCCCCCCCCCCCCCCCCCCCCCCCCCCCCCCTCCCCTCGTCGCCCGTCGTGGCGACCCCGGGGGGCGGACGCGTTGCCCTCCCCGTCGCCCGTCGTGGCGCCATCAAAGGGGGGCGGCGTGCTGCCCTCCCGTCGCCCGTCGTGGCGACCCTCGGGGGCGTACGCGCTGCCCTCCCCCCGTCGTCCGTCGAGGCGCCATCAAGTTGGACGGCGCACTGCCCTCCCGTCGCCCGTCGCGGCGGCCTTGGGGGGCCGCGCGGCTCCCTTCACGTCGCCCGTCGAGGCGCCCTAGGGGCCGCGCGCCTCCCCTCCCTCCTTCCTCACAACTGCAGCGGCCGCCCCTGGAGCAGCCAGCAACTGCAGCGGCCGCCCCTGGAGCAGCCAGCAACTGCAGCGGCCGCCCCTGGAGCAGCCCGCAACTGCAGCAGCCGCCCCTGCAGCTGCCCGCGGCGTCGTCCCTCCATCCCATCCCGTCCCTCTCCCCCCCCCCCCCCCCCCGCGTGCTGCCCCTTCCTCCTGTTCCCCCGTGCGTTCCGCGGTGGTGGGGGTGTGGGGTGGCGAGCATGGGGGTGAGAGGTGTGGGTTCTCCCCTCCTCCTTTTTCGTCTCCCACTGCTGCAGCTGCCGCTGAGGGGGGTGGAGGTGTGGGAGTCGTGGGGAGGGGCACTAGGGGGGTGATGTGGGAGTGGAACTAGGGGTGAAGCAGGGGGTGTGTGACAGGGGTGTGGGGCAGTTGGGGGAGGTTGATCGGAGGTCGCCGTCGTGTCGCCAGCAGCGCCAGCAGTCCGGAGCCCTTGCTCTCGGTAGCTCAGTGAGCCTGCTACGCCAGTCACCCGTGGGTCCGTTACTCCTGCCGCTCGTCGTAGCCGCGGAGTCTGTTACTCCAGTAGTCCGGGGCCCTTGCTCCGGTAGCCACTGTGCCAGCCGCTTCTGTTGCCCGTGTGTCTGCAGCTTCAGCCGTCGCCTCCAATCTACACTCCCCTCACTGTCACTCCTCCTCCTCACTGGCCTCCTGTGACTGCCTCTAGCTTTGCTCATAATTGTGAACTTCTGCTATGCCTGCTCATTGTGCTGATTTCACCCCACTTTGGCTATGGGGGTGTGTCAGAATATGTTGTTTGTGTAGCCTGCAGTGGGGTACTCAATAGTGAGTACAGCCCCTTAGGGTTTGCTATTTGTATCCTGCTGCTTGCTAGTTCAATCATTCCTTCTCAATTCTGTTCCTGCACACAATCGTAGCTCGTACTTGGCGCCTCCTTTCGTAGTCCTACTGTGGCCTAGGCTACTAAGCCTAGGCCGTACTCCTAGTATATTTGACATTGCGACCCCTGCTGGCGGCTAATCCGCGAGAGTATTGCGATTCGGCGGCAAGGTCGCCTTGAAGTCACGGCTATCCCACCAGGTGAGATTTTTAGCCACAATGGACCCTCGCCCTAGCTTTCTCCCGCCGCCCACTTCTTCTCCCGTCGCTCTCGCTTGCCCCCGACACCCACTCCTTCCCCCGTCGCCCACTCTCTTTCCGCCGTCACCCTCCCTTTCCCCCGTCGTCATTGCTTGCACCGTCGTTCTCGCATTCAATTGTCGGTCGCGTTTCCTCGCTGACCGGCTTCCCCCGTCGCTTTTATTTCACACCTTTGCCCTCGCTTTCCCCCTTGATACTCCCCTTAGCCCGTTGCCCTCACTTTCCCCCCTTTGCCCACTCCTTCTCCCGTCGCTCTCGCTCTCCCCCGCCGCCCACTCTTTTTCCCGTCGCTCTTGCTTTCCCCCGCCGCCCACTCCTTCTCCCGTCGCTCTCGCTTGCCCCCGACACCCACTCCTTCCCCCGTCGCCCACTCTCTTTCCGCCGTCACCCTCCCTTTCCCCCGTCGTCATTGCTTGCACCGTCGCTCTCGCATTCGGTCGTCGGTCGCGCACTCCTCGCTGATCGGCTTCCCCCGTCGCTTTTATTTCACACCTTTGCCCTCGCTTTCCCCCTTGATACCCCCCTTAGCCCGTCGCCCTCGCTTTTCCCCCTTCGCCCACTCCTTCTCCCGTCGCTCTTGCTCTCCCCCGCCGCCCACTCCTTTTCCCGTCGCTCTAGCTTTCCCCCGCGGCCCACTCCTTCTCCCATCGCTCTCGCTTGCCCCCGACAACCACTCCTTCCACCGTCGCCGTCGCTTTCCCCCTTGCTCCTCCCTTTCCCCCGTCGTCATTGCTTGCCCCGTCGCTCTCGCATTCAGTTGTCGGTCTAGCACTCCTCGTTGATCGGATTCCCCCGTCGCCCTTGCTTCCCACCGTCTCTATGGCTTTCGCCGTCGCCCACGCTTTTCCCCGTCGCCGATCATGTCCCCCGTCAACCCACTTTCCAACTTCGCGGTCGGTTTCCCTCGTCGCCCACGCATGCTCGTGTCGCACACGCTTTCCACCGTCGCCCTTGCTTCCCACTGTACGCTCTTCAATCACACGCATTCTATTTCTTCCGTCGCACTCGCGTTCCCCGTCGCCTCCCGCCTCCCAAGCTGTCACGTGTCGCATACGAATTCCCCCGCCGCCCACCTTTTCCACCGTCGGCGACGCTTTCCACCGTCGCCGTCGCCGTCACAGATCGCCCTCGCATTTCCCCGTCGATATCGCTTCCACCGTCGCCCTTGCTTCCCACGGTCGCACACAAATCACCCCGCCTCCCACGCTTCCCCCCGTCGCCCACTCCCTCCCCCCGTCGTTCACTTTGTCCCTGTCGATCGTGCTTTCCGAGTCGCACCCGCTTTCCCGCGGTGACATCGCTTTCTCCCCGACGCCCACGCTTGCCCCTGTCGCCATTCGCGGCCCCCCGTCCCCCTCGCTTCCTTGTCGCATTTGCTTCCCCCCATCTCCCACGCTTTCCCCATCGCCATTGCTCTACACCGTCACCCACCCTTGTCCCCGTCCCCCACGCTTTCCCTGGTCGCACACGTTTCCGCCATCGCCCACGCACATCCCCGTCGCCCACGTTTCCCGTTGTCGCCCTTGCTCTCCCCCATCCGCCATCCCTTTCCTCCCCCCCCCCTCACTTTCCTGAACGTAGCAGCACAGGAAGACTACGAGTTACACTCTCTCGACTTCTCTACTGCCTTCCTTCAAAGTAGCCTACACGAGGAGGTCTGGCTGCGTCGTCCCTCTACATTCACTGCGTCTGACCTAATAGAGGCAGAGGCAACTGGTCTACGAACTCCGTAAGGCGCCTCGTGAGTGGCACGACACCCTTCGCTCTACCCTGTCCGACCTCGGTTTCCAGCCATCTTTTGCCGAACCGTCGTTGTTTGTTCGTCGTGGCTCTATACCGTTCTTTGTTCTGGTCTACGTCGACGACCTGGTTTTCGCCACTGCTGACAAAGTTGCTTTGGCTGACGTGAAGTCCGGACTGCAAAAGAGACACACGTGCACTGACCTTGGTGAGCTGCGCCACTACCTTGGCCTGCAGATCACCAGGGACAGAGCCGCTCGCACCATTACACTCTCACAGTCACACATGGTGCAGCAGGTCCTTTAGCGGTTCGAGCTGCAGCACTCCACAGTACAGCGCACACCTCTTGCCGCTGACCACAGACTCACTGGTCCCTTTCCTGACGAGCTGTTTGAGCCTAGTGGTCCTTACAAAGAGCTTGTGGGCTGCCTCATGTACCTGATGACTTGTACTCGCCCGGACCTCGCATTCCCATCAACATCCTTGCTCGCTTTGTTGCGCCAGGGAGACACCGACCTGTTCATTGGACAGCTGCTGTGAGGGTGATGAAGTACCAAGCAACGACATCAGGCGTGGGGCTGGTACTTGGAGGCACACAGCCTGTCGTTCTCACTGGTCATTGTTACTCTTCTTACGCTAACGATGCCAAGACTCACGGGGTCTATTCAGGGGTACCACTTTAGCCTGGGCTCTTGAGCTGTTTCGTGGAGGTCCACGCGTTCCTCCTCTGTCTCTACCTCTACCGCTGAGGCTGAGATCTACGCTGGAGCCATGGCTGCACAGGAGCTGCGTTGGTTGACCTTCTTGCTCACTGACCTTGGTGAGCGACCGAGCTCTCCACTGACCTTGTTTAGTGACAACAAGGCTATGATTCTCCTCTGCCGAGAGCCTCGACTGGAGAGCAGAGTGAAGCATATCAACATTAGGTACTTTCTTCTGCAAGAGTTGCAGAGGCGTGGACATGCTCGCTTGGACTTTGTGGAGTTCGAGGCCAACACAACGGACATCTTCACCAAGGCCCTTCCGCCTTGTGACCACCCCATGTATTGTGTGCAGTTAGGTCTCGTTGTCACAGGTTCTCGTCTTATGTAGACTTTGCTTGTTTTGTTGTACACTTTGCATATACCTCTGTGAACTCTTGGACTAGCATTGTGGCTCTTTTGCTTGTGCTCGACTGTGTGGTGACGTTGTGATCCACCCTGAGCTTTTGGTCTTCGTTGTCAAACTGTTATCATGTTTGTGCTGTGTAGGCTGTAGTGGGGTAGCCCATATAGGGTACAACCCAAACTAGCATTAGCACTTGTACCCACGTTTCTGCTCAATGCACTCATTCCTCCTCGTTAGATTCTGACATGGTTTCAGAACAACAGGTCCGTAGGACCGTTTTTTTTTTTTTTTTTTTTTTTTTTTTTTCTGGCCCACTATTTGCTGGTGACCGACTACGGTTACCGCGCTACTTCACGCCCTGCCCTGCGTCGCGCCGCCCGCGCACGCCCTGCTCTGCCCTGCCTTGCGTTGCGCAGCCCTGCGCGCGCCCTGCCCTGCCCTGCCCTGCGTCGCGCCGCCGCATGCAGCCCGCGCTCCGCCCGTTTGCGGTCCTGCGCGCCCCCTGCCCTTCCCTGCGTCGCGCCACCGCATGCAGCCCGCGCTCCGCCCGTTTGCAGCCCGCGCGGCCCGCGCCCTGCCCTTGCAGCCCGCACGCCGCCCCTGCCTGCCCGCGCGCAGCCTCTGTAGGCCCGCGTGCCACCTGTCTGCAGCCCGCGCGGCCCGCGCGCTGCCCTTGCAGCCCGCGCGCCGCCCCTGCCTGCCCGCGCGCATCCTCCGCCGACCCGCGCGCCGCCCGTTTGCAGCCCGCACGGCCCGCGAGCTGCCCTTGCAGCACGCCCACCGCCCTTGCCTGCCCATGCGCCGTCTCTGCAGGCCCGCGCACCGCCCCTGCCTGCCCGCTCGCCGCCCCTGCAGGCCCGCGCGCTGCACTTGCAGCCCGCGCACAGCCGGCGCGCAGCCCTTGCAGCCCGCGCGCCGCCCCTGCCTGCCCCCTGCCCACGCGCCGTCCCTGCCTGCCAGCGCGCTGCCCTCTGCAGCCCGCGCACCGCCCTGCTGGCCGCGCGCCGTCACTGCCTGCCCGCGCGCTGCCCTTTCGTGTCAGCGCACCACCCTATTCTGGCTGCGCGCCACCCTTCCATGACCGTGTGCCGCACGCCCTACCCTACGCTCTACCCTAGGACCTGCTCGCCGCCCTGCCCTCACTGAGTGCTGCCCTGCTGGTCGCATGCCTCCTTACTTGGCCCACTATGACTTCTCTTCGTGGTAGCGGTGGGAGCGGTGGCAGCGATGGTGGCAGCAGTTGGAGTGGTGGCGGCGGCCGTAGTGGCAGTCGCGGTGGAGCTGTTCAGTAAGGAGTTTCTGGCGGTGGCCAGATGCAGCTGCAGCGGCATCTGCGCAAGACCCTTACGCCCCAGCAGCTTCGTGAGTGGTACACTCAGAGTGGGGGGTCTTGGAGTACTGTCCGCTACCCGTACGTCATTCGCACAGGTGATCGGGCTGGTCTGACTTGTGGGACAGTTGGTCACACACAGGCCTGCTGCTTCGCCTATCTGAGCGATGCCTGGCACGCAGAGTTTGGCGACGAGGCTGAGCTCCCCCACTGGCTAGAGCTGCTTAGGGACAAGGTGGATATATTTGCTCTAGACTATGACGCTATCCTTACTGCCGTGTATGCTGTGACTATTGGTACGGAGGGTGACTGTTACCTGTGTGTGCCCCCTGACCCTGGTATAGAGGCTGCTGCTCTAGGTGCTAGTGAGTCTGCTCTCTCTGGTACTGCACCTGCTGAGGCCTTCCACACCTTCAGGCTTGACTCAGGTGCTTCCCGCTGTTTCTTTCGCGACAGTACCACACTCACACCACTCCCTGCACCGGTTTCAGTCAGACTAGCTGACCCCTCAGGGGGCCCAGTTCTTGCACATTCCACTACTGTTCTCCCGTGTCCGGCGGTTCCGTCTGGCTCACTGTCAGGTCTTCACATCCCCTCGTTCTTTACAAACTTGGTGAGTACCACTGCCCTCCAGGATGCAATGGTCACTACCACCACTACTGGAGGTCAGCGTGTGGCGATCTGCACGTGTACACGGACGGGCCGCCACCTGGCCATGTTCACCCGTCGGCCTGGGTCGAGCCTGTACACACTGACTACTGAGCCTCCCCAGGTAGCTGCGTCTGTTCAGGTGTCCGTGTCAGGTCAGGTAGCAGCCCCTTGCTCATGTCGCCACCTATCGCACGAGACTCTCCTCTGGCACCAACGCCTTGGTCACCCCTCCTTGCCACGCCTTCGTAGCATGCACTCCCACCTCCTTGTCTCTGGTCTTCCCGGGTCTCTGCCCCCCTTCCGCGCTCGCCTGCCCTGCCCTGCCTTCCTTGCGTTGAGGGGCGGCAGCGCACCGCTCCTCACTCCTCCTCGTTTCCCCCGACAGAGGCTCCCCTGCAGACTCTCCATACGGACGTGTGGGGCCCAGCCCGCGTCCGTGGACTGGACAGCGAGCGGTATTTTCTGCTGGTTGTTGACGACTACACGCGTTACACCACGGTCTTCCCCTTGCGCAGCAAGGGGGAGGTCCCTAATGTCTCGATCCCTTGGATCTGCGCTGTACGTCTCCAGCTCCGCGAGCGGTTCCGCACGGACCTTCCATGCCTGCGTCTGCACTCTGACAGAGGTTGTGAGTTCTCCTGCGACCTCTTGCGAGACTTTTGTCGTGGGGAGGGCATCCTCCAGTCGTTCACGCTTCCAGCCTCTCCGCAGCAGAATGGGGTTGCTGAGCGCCGCATTGGCCTTATCATGGAGGTGGCTCGTACCTCCATGATCCATGCGGCTGCTCCCTATTTTATGTGGCCATTTGCGGTCCAGTACGCTGCGCATCAGCTCAACCTCTGGCCCCGTGTCTCCTTGCCGTAGACCTCGCCTACACTGCGTTGGTACGATGCGTCGGTGTTCCGGGTCTGGGGCGCTCGTGCCTTTGTCCGCGATACCTTTGCAGACAAGCTC